TTAAATAAAATTCAAAATACATAATAAAATATGCATGTTGATTTTGTTTTCATAATTACATTTCAATATCTAATATAAGCTACAATATAATCTTCTTATTTCTTAGAAATTATATAAACTAAATTATCTAATTTAATTAGTTACGAAGAAATATCTCATTAAAAGAAAGTTAATTTTGAAATAATAATTATAAATCAATAATAATGACACACAATATTTTATAAAATAAGTTCATATTTAATTAGATCTAGACAATTTTTATTGGATCCAAATTTAGGAAAAAAAGATTTTAGAGTATCATTCTAATGAAAGAGATAATATTTATAAAATTTATTTTCATATTAAGAAACTCATAAAAATTAATTATAATGTGTTATCTTTATATATAAATAAAATAATTTTTATGTATTTGAATTAATTTATATTTATATATTTTTATAATTAATATTATCTATCCACTAAATATAAATCCTGAATTCGTCCTTTGCATGTTACTTCAAATGTACCATTACCAAGCGCCTCTGCATATGCTCTCAACAAGTCCTCCAAGTCAAATGCAAAATTACAACCCTCGAAGAAGACAAGCCCATTATTCTTATGATGATTCTCATAAGCTTTTTTCTTCGAAGAGACCTATTTTTGGGGGGACTTTGCTAGAATTCCTGGTTCCTTTTGTCTCTTTGACTGACAACAGATCACCCAAAGGGCAATTAGCACAAACAGCAGCACACAGCCACCGATTACAATCCCCAAATAATTTTTTAAACATATCAATTATTGTGTTTATTTTAAAATAAAATGCAGTAATTGTTTTTCTTAATTTTTTTAAAACATGTTAAATGATCAATTATTATGTTTTTAAAGAAAAATACAATAATTGAGTCGAATTATTTTTTAAAATAATTAATTAAGATATTTATTTATTCATTACGTAATAATTGATTATTTTAATATTATTAACATTGTTATTTATTGTGTTTATTAAAAAATAACACAATAATTATTCGTTATTGTTTTTTAAAAAAACTTAAATTACTGTATTTTTTTTTACATAAACACAATAATTGTATATTTTAAAATTTTTAAGTAAAACAAATATTGAGTTCCTTTGAAGATAAACGTACTTATTGATCACTATTTTATTTTATTTTTTATAATTCATCGTTCGAATATCACATTATTTATCAATTATTTTTTAATAAAATATTATGTTTATTATGTTATTAAGGATATTATGATAAAAATATATGATTTAGTAAACTAAGATTCTTCTAATCAAACACAAAAATCTAAAAATTAAATACCATGAATATTATATATTTTTTTAAATTCAATATTTCACGAACCAAACGTCATTTAAAAATATTTTTAATCTTCTTTTTTAAGAATTTTATTATACTTTGGTTATGAAGTTAATGTTTTGATTGTAAGTCTATACTTATTGATAACTGTGTTAGCAAATATTTCAACTGTTGTAACACTTAATCAATATTGGATAAATTAACTGCCACATCATCATAAGTCAATTAATCATATCCACATCAATTTTTATAACAGATAAGATGGGGTTATAAATATCTCATTCTAAACCTTCATTTTACTCTTTCCCATTCTTTATCCCCTCTAATCTCTTCACGTTTTCTTACCCATTACACATTACAGACTTAAAGAGTCGAAACATGTTCCGAATCTTGCCTCTGGAACTTTTTGGCCATTCCTTTAATTACATGTCATTCCAACTTTCAAATCCATTACCTAGTTAGACTCGAGCAAGCAACCAATCACCAGATTCAAAAAATCATAGATAAAATTTATGAATTATCATTCCAAAAATAAGTTTAAATCGAACATACTTTTAATTTTTAAAATAAAGAGAATGAAAGATTAAAACGTTATACAAGTAACAAATGCAGAACTGTCTTAAATTTGTTGCTGAATCTTGACAAAGCTGTGGGAAAACTTGTTTTGCAAAAAGCGACAAAAACCCGTGTCTGGAATCTGTCTCTGTAAAGTTATGGCTATTGATTAAGTAGGAACTAAACATCTTTCATTATAACTAATTCAAGTTTTGTCTGAAAATTCTTTGGCTGTTTATGTGAATCTTTGTTTTCATTAATCGTCTTGTTGCCTGTATATATACTTTTATTGCCCTCGTGTCTGCAATTTTTTCTTCCTCGTCCTTTTTGGTTTGGTCGGTTGCTATTCATCTTTGAAAAAAAAAAAAATCAAAGGTTAGTATCTGTATAATTGAAAGATAATACTTAAATTTAATTTTCCTCATTTTTTATATGGTCAAAGCTGAAGCACATCAATTTGTGTAATCATGCATGTGATTTCTGTCGCACGGCGAAAAATAGGTTGAAATCTGTGACTTGGATCCTTCAAGTGTAAGTCAAATGACAACGACCTAACCTAACCAGCTGACCTAGCTAAAATACCGCAGGCGACCGATCATCGATATTTTTCTGTGTGGTCAAATATTGATGATTCTATATGTTTTTCAGTAGGACAAGAAAAATATAACTTGCTTATTTATGAGTTGTAAATGCATTGATCAACAAGATTCTGCTTAGACTATGAGATTGAGTGGGTCTTTCTTTTTTTCTTTTTTAATTTTTTTTTGGCGTCCCTTAACATTGCAGTCGGTTTTTTTCTTTTTTCTTTTTTAGGTTTTGGTGCGGCAGCAGTGAGCATGGCAAAGGTTTTGATGAAGTCCATCTAAAAATTCAGGCTGCCATTAGGAAATTTTATTGTCATTGGAAGCCTTGTTACAGATGAAAACAAGCTATATCAGGAAAAAGAAAAAGGGAATTATGATTTGCAGAATCATGTGAAAAGATCAAATCCTTTTGCTTCTTTTATCTGCACGCTTTGGAAAAGCAAAAAGCATGAAGAGAAAAGTTTTCTAGGGAAGGAAAAAGAAAGGAGGAAGAAAACGATATTGCAGGGTCCGAGATAATTAGTAAGGTTGATAACTTTACTTGATCAGAAGTCAAAACTAAATTTGATAAACAGGTTCTTTGTTGAGGTGATGAAGCATTATAAACAAAAAAAATAGGATATGCCAAGAGATAGTAGAGAGGAAAACTTGAATAGACTCTTAAGTATTGAATGCAGAAACACGTGATAGTAGATGGTGAAATAAGGTTGAAAAAAGAATAGAATAAAGCTGAGAGAAGGATTTAGGAAGAAAGGATTGTAGAGAAAGTTTTTTGAGAGAAAGTTGTGAGAAATTTGTCAAAATCCAAAAGTTCTCCAATAATCTGTAAAAACTTTTATTTATAGGTTTTAAGAATAAAAATTATATATCTTGAGTATTAAATAAGAATAATGGAAGAATTGATCATTATAAAAGATATTAATGTATTATTTAATAATAATTTAATTAGCTTTTTAATAATAGGCATAGTAAATATAGAAGTATATAGTAAGAAAAAGAGAAACACTTATATTTCATGAAAATGTTAAGAGAAAACCTCTTAATTATCTCCATATCTGATCCAAATCAAGTTTTTCAAAACATTTCAATAATGAAATTAATCTAAGAATCATGTCATATTTTGAGATTATTTTCACTTCTTCTGTTGATAAAATAACATTCAGTGAAACATATTTTGTGGAATAACTCTTGAAATTCAAAAATTTTCTATAAAAATGTTGGTCTTGTTTATTGAGAAAGTTATTCTGAGAACAATTGTTACGTGAAAAAGTTTTTTTTTGAATAAGTATTTTATAAACAGCTATGTTATAAAAGAGTTATTCTATGAATAGTTATTTCGTAAAATAATCTTTATTGAAATACTTTTATCACTTGTTTCATGAAATAACCTTCATTGAAGCAATTTTATCACCTATTTGGACTTAAGATATAATTTCATTCTAATGGTTAAAAAAATGTACTATATTAAATTAGTAGAAAAGCGATCAATTGGATAATCAGAGATCTATATATTCACCTCCCTGATTCACATATAAAGTTTTAAACCATTTAGATTTTGATGTTTCATTGTGGGAAGAACAAGAGGAGAGAAGAGGGAAAGCACATTTTCTCTTGCCATGGAGAACTTCACTTCACAAGGCAATGCTTCCATTCTTTAGCAGCTAGGCTACTTGTCAAGTTTTTGCCTCTTAATATATGCACTTTTTGGCTAAATGCTGAAGGGACCTCCTGGCTGCACATTTGCACCTTTGGCAAGCTAGCCATGTGATTATTAGTGCAACTCTGTTAAGGAGGCAGAAAGTGTAATATAGAAAAGAAAATTTAGGCAGGAATAGCAGTTCCCTCTTCATGATCATCCATCCCAAAACAGAGGTTCTACTTATGGACTCAGGAATTCAAGTACTATTGCATGCTTGTATCTCATTCCTTTACTTTAAGATTGATATTCTTGCATCTTTTATTTCTTCTATTTTGACAATGGTGTGGTAACAAGCAATACAAAGGTTCTCAGCAAAGCATCTTAACAAGGATATGAGTCCAAAAATAAGCAAACTGGCCTTGCAAAGAAATGTTACAAAATGCTTAGAAGTAAGCCTTTCTGAATGACTTTTTAATGGATAAACCATTGTAAAAAGCTAGATTCTGATATTGCCAGAGGACTCACTGGAGGTATGAGAAGCAACTGATTAATAAAGAGAAATGCCTATTGAGAATGACATTTGACCAAACATTTTATTGAGGAGAAATGACCATGGATGTTGTTAAAAAGTGCCCTTGGAGCATAGAAGCCTAAAACTGTTTTCCTTTTCCTTAACGGTAAAGCTTAGTATTGTATGTGGGATTAGGTAGGTAATTGGTATATATCTTTCATTCATATAATATGAAGATCAAATTGGAGAAGCCATAAAAAACGGAAATGGGAGAACTAAAAAGCACCCTGAATTCTGAAAGTTCCCCAAAAACAATTCTTCCTTGTGTAGCAATCTCAGCCTCTACGCCAGTTAATGATCCTGAAGTCTCTTTCAGTATTTTGCTTACAAGCTTTGGCATACGACAGCCCCTTTCAATTTCTACCTAATCAGCTGCATTCCCTTCTCCTTAACAAACTACCTTTAGTTACCCTTTTTTAGCTTTGTATAAATACTTCATATTTTCACCTTCATGTCTTGTCCGAACAAGCACAGAATAATTAAAACTTTTTGGCTAGACAAATGACTTTCCATGGTGGTTCCCTTTCCAGAATGACCCTTTTTCTTGCCGGGTTCTTTGCATTCATTTCTTTTCCAGCGGAAGCTGCTGTAAAGAAGTACCAGTTTGATGTGAGTCAAATCAGAAATGCACATTTCATTTATTACATTCACTTCATTTTGTAATTCTTTGTCTGTTCCACTTGGTGATGTCTTTATGTTGTCTTTTGAACAGATCCAAGTGAAGAAAGTTAGCAGATTGTGTCATGCAAAGCCAATTGTAACTGTAAATGGGAGGTTTCCAGGGCCTACGATCTATGCTAGAGAGGGAGACAGAGTTATTGTCAATGTTACTAACCATGCAAAATATAACATGTCCATTCATTGGTGGGATTTCATTTAACTATATGCAGAAAAGAAATTGAAGCAAAATTTCTTCTACTTATAATGTGTTGCTCGGTGATCTCTTTAGGCATGGATTGAAGCAGTATCGAAACGGTTGGGCCGATGGACCAGCTTACATAACTCAGTGTCCAATTAAGACTGGGAATAGCTACACTTACGACTTTAATGTGACAGGGCAGAGGGGAACTTTGTGGTGGCACGCGCACATTCTTTGGCTGAGGGCTACAGTATATGGAGCAATTGTCATCATGCCAAAACAAGGAACGCCATTCCCATTCCCACAGCCAAACATGGAACAGATTATAATATTAGGTCAGTTCTAGGGTCGACATTTTGATTGATTTTACAAATTCCTTCTGACCTTGAAAATTTTGGAATTTTTGATTTAGTAAATCTTGAAGCTAGCTATAAATTTTGTTTGTTCATGCCGCAGGCGAATGGTGGCATACTGATGTGGAAGAGCTTGTCAAGCAAGGAACTAACATGGGCTTGCCACCAAATATGTCAGATGCACACACAATCAATGGGAAGCCGGGACCTCTTTTTCCATGTTCTGAGAAACGTAAGCAAAATTAATTATCTAGAAAAGACTTCAAGCCACGGTACATAAAAATATATCAGTATATCACTTGAAGTTGTGTAATCATTTTTTCAAGTTATGGTAGCTGAACCTTAAAGACTATTTTGCTGAAAAAAGTAATGCTCATTGATCAATCCTGAATGTTTATAGATACATTTGCAATGGAGGTTGAATCAGGCAAGACATATTTGCTAAGAATCATCAATGCCGCCCTCAACGATGAGCTTTTCTTTGCTATCGCTGGTCACGACATGACAGTGGTTGAGGTTGATGCAGTTTATACAAAGCCATTCACCACTCAAGCTATACTGATTGCCCCAGGGCAAACAACGAACGTTCTTGTCCAAGCCAACCAATTGCCTGGCAGATATTTCATGGCTGCTAGGCCTTTCATGGATGTTCCACTTCCTACTGACAACAAAATAGCAACAGGAATACTCCAATACAAAGGAATCCCTAACACTGTTCTTCCTACCCTTCCCCAATTACCAGCTCCCAATGACACAGCTTTCACTTTGAACTACAACAAAAAGCTAAGGAGCTTAAACTCTGCAAAGTTTCCTGCAAATGTGCCCCTTAAAGTTGATCGAAAACTCTTCTACACAATTGGTTTTGGCAAAGATCCTTGCCCAACATGCTTAAACGGAACAAAACTCCTAGCCTCCTTGAACAACATCTCCTTCGTGATGCCCAAAGTTGGGCTTCTCCAAGCTCATTACTTCAATATGAAAGGAGTTTTTAGGACAGATTTCCCTGACAAACCTCCTAAGCCATTCAACTATACCGGTGCACCCCTTACAGCCAATCTTGGCACTGCACATGGTACAAGACTTAGCAAGATTGCCTTCAATTCTACAGTCGAGCTAGTGCTTCAAGACACCAACCTTCTAACAGTTGAGTCACATCCATTCCATCTCCATGGCTATAACTTCTTTGTCGTGGGAACTGGTATAGGAAATTTTGATCCTGTCAAAGACCCGGCCAAGTACAATTTGGTTGATCCTATTGAAAGGAACTCAGTTGGAGTTCCCACCGGGGGTTGGACCGCCATTCGCTTTAAAGCAGACAATCCTGGTAATTATTTTAACAAAACAAAATTTGGTACACTAGGATTAAAATCCATATGATTAATAATTTATGTTATTTTCCTGGTTTAGGTGTTTGGTTTATGCATTGTCATTTGGAGCTCCATACTGGGTGGGGATTGAAAATGGCATTTGTGGTTGAAGATGGACCGGGAGCTGATCAATCAATTCTGCCTCCACCCAAGGGTTTGCCACCATGCTAACTGTTTGAAAAGTTTGTCAAAGATCAACAAGAACAGCAAAAAATTTTTTGTGTATAAACCAAATTTAATTCAAGGGAGAAATTGTGAAAGTTCTAATTGTTTGATACTACAATTGTAATAAACTCCATGAAAAGTTTCATGATTGAGTTGTGTGTAGTTGAATTTGCAATGAATTATTGAAAAGGCAAATGATTATTTTAAAGTTTTCCCTATTATTTTCTTTTTTTTCTTTTTTCCATTTTTGAGAGACTGAATTTCTTAACTTTCAACGTGAAATTTTATAAAAGAAAAACTTGACTGAATGTTGAAAATTCAAAACAAAAACAAAGCCAAATCCAAAAGAAATGTGGACAGCCACTCAGGTGGGCCCATAAAAGAGAGAAAATCCCAAATGATCATGGGCTCCCAGTTGCCCATTGCCCTCAACAACCCAAAAAAGTAAAAAATCCGAAAAGTGAATAAAAAAAATAAAAAAGAAGAATATGCGAAAATTTACGAACATACCATGACGACAAAAACGATCAAGGCTGGAGACTCCAACGCCTACAAAGCTTGGTTTCAAAGTGACTTGCTTTCTCGTCATATCCATTATCACTTCACATTTGGCGCTGACCCTTCTGCTTACAAATCGAAGAAAATGGCGATGGTTTCGATGCTATTCTCTGTCCCTTCCTTAAACTCTCCTAATCTACGCCCCACCAAGCGGTTAGTTTCTGTTTTCTCTCATGTTTTCAAAGAGAACAATGCGTACTTAGATAACTTCAAAAGTTTCAATCCTTTAGTTCATATTCTTCTGCAGATACTCGGGCATGGATTTTGCAACATCAAACCAGGAAGCTGTTTCTGTGGGTGTCAAAATAACACAAGGGGAAGGCAATTTACCCAAGCTTGTGCTCACTTCTGATCATGGCAGGTAAACCTCAAATCTTTAAATATTGCAAAAAATTCTACATTCTTGTAAAATTTTCTTTTCTGGGTCTTTTTCAAATTCATTTAACTCCCAAGTTTTCTGCTTTAATTGGTGAGGAATTTTTTTCTTATTGATATGGGTCTGAAATGAATGGTTTGATATACTTGCTTGTACCTTGATGGATTGAATATTTGGTTTTTCTTTTTGGTGTTATAGTGAAGCTGAGATTTATCTATTTGGTGGTTGCATTACATCTTGGAAAGTCCCAAGTGGGAGAGACCTTCTTTTTGTGCGGCCTGATGCTGTATTTAACAAAAAGAAGCCAATCAGGTTATTGCTGCACCCCTTTCATTACTTTGATTTTAGCTATTTCAAAATATGCATTTGAAAAGTTAGATGAATCTAATGTTTCGTAAAGCTTGTAGAATTAAGCTGATTACAAGTAGATTATGGTTGTTTTTTGGGGCAAGAGATCGATTCTAGTAATAATAATTTGGAATGTTTCAGATACTGACAGTGTTTTTTACTATTTGGATAGCGGAGGTATTCCACATTGTTTCCCACAGTTTGGACCTGGCCCAATGCAGCAGGTATGCCCTTCTAATTGTGCTTCAAAATTCTAATATCCGCTAATTGCCTTCATTTACCCCTAGTAGCTTTAAATAATCTTACTGCATTTCCTATTTATGGGTTCCTTTTGTTTATCATGAGACATTTGACATGGTCTGAGGACTGGTTAGTGGTGCAACTATGACCCTGACAGAGTGCCATATTTTACCCCAAGTTTCCATCCTCTTTTTGAGAATGGTGCTAGGATCTGGAGGGTAGTATTATACTGCCCTGAAGTCAATCTGAATGATTCTTTCCAGTCTATCATCTTTAGTTTATACCTGCAAAAGACCATCCAGAAAAAGAAAAGGAACAATTAAACTACTATTATTTTATGTTTTAATATATTATATCTTCTAGTTTTGTTTGAATTGTGGAAATGTTTATGTAATTCACAGCATGGATTTGCAAGGAATATGGATTGGTCGGTTGTGGAGTCTGAAAACGTGGAAGGGAATCCTATTGTAACTCTTGAGTTAAAAGATGGTCCTTATAGCCGTGCCATGTGGGATTTCAGTTTTCAGGCTAGATATAAGGTTTGTAATTGATTACTCACCAGTATGGGCAGGGCAATGATATTCTGCATTATGACAACAGAAGTTTCTAAGCTATTTTTTGTGTTAGTTTAAAGGTACTGGAATAGTCCAGATAAGATATGTTGATTCACCTTTGTAATTGTAGTTTGTGCTTACTAATTAAATTGGCAGTTTGTTCCTTTTTGTTTCTTCAGGTCATTCTAAATACAAAGAGCATTTCCACTGAACTAATAGTTACAAACACAGACAAGAAGCCATTTTCATTCAGCAGTGCTTTGCATTCATATTTTCGTGTAAGTACCTATAATTCCATGGTTGGTAGATGCATTTCTTCTAGCATGCCCAAATTAACATTTTCTTTGTATAGGAATGTGGATTTTTTTTGGTGATAATGAAGAAAAGGAATTTAGAATTATTTGCATGGGAAAAAGGAAAACAGCACAATATTATATCTTATGCATTATAATTGAGTTGCTTGGCATTTAAACTTGAATGAAGCTAGTTAGAAATTGATGTTGGACATTTTGATGCAGGCATCTATAACAGGGGTATCTGTGAAAGGTTTGAAAGGGTGCAAAACTCTGAATAAAGATCCAGATCCAAAGAATCCGATTGAGGGTAGGGAGGAAAGGTCAGTGCATTATGCACAGAATTATTATTGGAGGCTAACTTCAGTATTTGAACTATAGGTGTTATTGAGAGAGCTTATTAAGATCTCATGAGGATCTTCTTTATAACAATGACTAAGTTCTAATTTGATCAAATTGTAAATTTTTCCAAGCTCAAACAATCTTTATTTCATTGATTTTATCTAAATCTTGATATTGATTTTTGAATGTTGAAGGATTAACATTGTTACTCAAATCTTTCAATTCCTTACTACAATTGTACTTAAGACCAAATAAATTGTAGTTTTTGGGTGTTCTTACTTTTAATATCAACTCTGTCTTCATATTTATACTTTTTAGCCAACTTATCTGAGAATATGAGTGTTAAAGATTCTTATGAAAACAATTTTGCTGCATTTTCTAACTGTTTTATTTACAACTCAGGGATGTCATCACTTTTCCTGGATTTGTAGATTGCATTTACTTGGATGCTCCTGATGAGGTGCACCTTGATAATGGCTTAGGTGATGTAATATCCATCCGGAATACAAAGTACGCAAGTCCAAGTCTCACATCTCTGTTTTATTAGAGTTGGGTCAAAATTTTCCTCATCTTTCTGCTTTGCCCTTGCAGTTGGTCAGATGCTGTTTTATGGAACCCACATCTGCAGATGGAAGCATGTTACAAAGATTTTGTTTGTGTTGAAAATGCAAAGGTACTTAGATACTCTCTTCAATAGTAAGTGGATAAACTTGGTGGAAGTTGGGTTTATATTCTTGATTCAACTTTTTTGGTTGCTAATAAGGGTTCAGTCAGCGACAGTCACTATATTCTTGCTCCAAAAAATCCTATCAAATGTTTTAAAACTTCTTTTATTTCTAAGGAGAGACTGAAGTCCTTTTTCAGATGGCCCTCCTAATAAGCTTGGCATCTACTGTTTATTTCCAAATTGATGTTTTCTTTTTATTTATGGCCACTCAGATTGGAACCGTTCAGCTAGAGCCCGAACAATTATGGATAGCTAAACAGCACCTCAGCATTGGCTGAACTGCTGAAGTGTAGATTGTACAGTTTCTGAAGTTTACATAATAAGTGCACTCCCTTGTTTTTTATTTTTTGGAGGCAAACCTTTTGATTTCTGTTTAGCAAAGCTTACAAGCTACATGAACTATTCCAAGTTCCTTAACAATGTAATTTCAAGTTTCTGTATTAATGAGTGAGTTGATAAAGCGGTGTTCTCTCCATCCTCACCATTTATCTCCACAAGTACAGTTGCCATTCCTAAAAATGTGAAACCTGGTTCTATCCCTCATGACAATCTCCCTATCATATATCTCTGAGATAAGTTTTGTTACCGTGTGGCAGTCCTCACATATCCGAAGATTCTTGAAAATTCTAATTGTCGTCCCTGGTTTAGTTCTAAGTAATCCAAATGCAATAGCAAGCTTCTCGCTGTGCTGATTGATTGCCATTTCTTTGGCTTCATCCTCGAGATCAAGCAGTAGATTCTGCAATGCAGGTTTATATCCTTCCTTTTTAAGTCTTTCAGCAATATTGTCCCACATGTGGTAAATCTCTGTTGTATGTGGGTGGGACCGACCTCCGGCTAAGAATTCATGGACAACCCCATTCAGACTAATTGCACTGCACCCAGGAAGTTTGGAAACCCCTCGTTCTTTCATCTGCCTCCTTGTTTGAACTGCTTGGTCCCAGTCCCCTGCTGCCGCATGAACGCTTGCCAAGTGAATGTACCGGTCACCATGGTCTGAATCGTCTTCAACCAGGATTTTCCCTATCTTTTTACCTAATTCAACATTTCTATGCATCCGGCAGGCATTGAGCAGTGCTCCCCAAACAACAGCATTTGGTTTTACAGGCATTTTCTCAATCAATCCCTTTGCTTCTTTCAAGAACCCTGCTCGGCCTAGCAGATCAACCATGCACCCATAATGCTCAATTCTTGGGCTCAATTTATGAACTCCGCTGATGCTCTCAAACAATGATTTTCCTGCATCAACCAGTCCTGAGTGACTACATGCTGTCAGAATTGCAGTAAAAGTGATATGGTTTGGCTTGATTCCTTCTTTTTGCATATTCTCAAACCAGTCAAGTGCTTCTCTTCCACGGCCATGAATTGCAAATCCAGAAATTAGTGCAGTCCACAAAGAGACTTCTTTTTTCTTCACTTTCTTAAAAAGTTCTAAAGCTTCTTCCATGTCACCACACTTTGCATACATGTCTATAAGAACGCAGCCTAAGATTGGGTCAATCTCAATTCCTATTTTGTCAATATATGCATGAATCCATCTCCCTTGATCCAGTGCTCCAAGACATGAACAAGCAGAAAGAATGCTTGCCAGGGCAACATTGTCAGGTTTGACACCTTCAGTCTGCATTTCATGAAATAAATTCAAGGCTTCCTTATGCATGCCCGCCCCAACATAGCCAGAAATCATAGTTGTCCAAGAAATGACATTCTTTGTTGGCATGTCCTTGAAAATTTCATATGCAATTTCCATCTTGCCACACTTTGCATAGCCGTCAACCATTGTGTTACAAGAAACAATGTCTCGTTCAGAGACCTGGTCAAAGAGCAGACGTGCAGCATTGATGCTGCCGGATGTTGCATAGACATGAAGCAGGGAATTTGTGGCATAAACCTCCGAGGCAAAACCTAACTTTATGACATGAGCGTGAATTTGCTTGGTTTCTTCCATGGCTGACAAACTGGAACACGCTTTAAGCAAGAAAGGAAAAGTGTAGGAATTGTGTGGAACTGAAACATACAGCATATGCTGATATAGAAGAAGGGCTTTTTCTGGTTTGTTGCTCTTTGCATATCCTTTAATCATGGCGTTGTACATGAAAGTATTGGGTCTGTTTACTCTATCAAAAACCATCTGGGCGTATTCTAGATTACCATATTTCGGAGACACACAGAAAGTAAGGACTTTGCTTACTAAGATGGTATCTGCAACAAGACCTGTTTTGAACATGTGTGCATGAATCCGCTTGAGTTCCTCCATTTTCGAACATCGTTCAAGCAGAGATGGGGTCTGGGTGGCATTTAATTCCAGGGAGAGCTGCTTTGTTGGAGATAGAGTGATGGATGGCATTTATTGGTTAATGAGGCAATGACCTTAGAACAAAGGTGATAAACAACAGTTTCTTTCTTCAATTTAATTTACGAATGTAGATAAGGTTTTTGGTTACTTGATAGGAATATCGTTACATTTCCTTTTCATATCTTTTTCCTACAGTCTTGCTGATTCCTTTATGTGGTCCCTGTTCGACATTTCGCCAAGCTATCGCCTTTGCAAACTGAAGTTCGAACCACGAGTCAAAGCATCGCGATATAGCCAAAGTAAGTTTTAGCTGTAACTAGGATCTTACCATTCAGGTGCATGCTAATGGCCGCCCTAGAAGTTCAGGCCCAAAACCATTGAGAATCAATGGTTCAGTAATCTAGGCTTCCATGACGACCAAATTTATGATGCTCTTAATCTAGGCCCCTTGCTCAGTAATGTTTTGTACATTTTTTTTACAGTAATAGTATCATACTACAAAAACTTACTTATTAGAAAGGCAGAAGCCTGATTCAAAATAAATTGGACATGAATTACAAACTGATGAATTCTGAAATTATAGCACAGTAACATTTATTAAAAATGTTGAAACCATCAAATAAACCAACACTGGTGCCCCATTAGGTGGGTATTACAGGAAAGTGATCAATTGAACAGAATCAAAACCAGAAGGAAAACAGACACAGCCAGCAACTAAGAAAGAGGAGCAGTCTCCAAATTTGAGACCAACTCAACCAAGCAATTCCAATCTCCATGGGCATTATTGTCAGACAACAGAACCAAAATAACAATAAGTCAATGAAAATGATGACAAAACTTTGATCAGAAGACAAATGATGAACGAATTTATAGACCTAGAACCCCTTAACAGCAACAAGCCACTTTTAAGTGCCCAAAACGTTAGCTGCTCTAGTGCTTCTCAGGAAACTAACATAGAAATAGTGCAAACTAGAATTATAATCAGTCCAACGGCCCAAACCCAATATGCCCATGCCTTCTTCTTCTTCTTCTTCTTCATTTGATTTGCACAGAAAAGGCTATTGGTTCCACCACAGATAAAATCACCTGCATCGGCAACATTTTCTTCAATACCATGCATATTTTCCCCTTGTGCCTCAACAAGAACAGCCATGTCAAGGAACAGCTGATGCAGCCTTTGCAAACTTCGCTGAATATCCATCAGTGCTTCATGCCTTGCTCCTCAAATACATTTCCCCTTTCTCTGCAAATAACTTAACATTTTCACCGCCTGAAACCACCTTTCAAGCACATCTTCACTCGGTAGCTCGCCGGTGCATTATTGTATCTTCCCTTGAGATCTTCTTTATGATCTGATAAAATCTCTTCCCTCAAGACCTGAAAATCATTCATCATTTCCCTAAGTTTAACTCTCAAACCATTGGTTATTAAAATCCTGGTTCGATCAACACAGGTCCCCTTCTTTATACGCTTCTGATAATCTCCTGTTGGTTACGTTGAATCTGTCGAGTGATTCAAACCTTGCCTTGACAACCTTTGCTTTTCTAAGAATGGAAACTGTGTCTGATTCCGTCCTATCTCTTAACCCTCGAAGAACTTTGGCGCTGTGGGTGGACTTGGTTTCTTCATTAAGGGTTTGAAGATCAAACACGAGATTGGTAATCTCTTCCATTGTGATCTTGATTGATTCCACTTCTTGGAAGAACTGAGAGAGGTTCTTTTCATCTGTGGGTTGGAGTTGGCCTAGGCCTTTTTCCATATCAAGATCGGCTTCCAAGTCTTTCTCTGCCTGTTTCTTCAGTTCTAGATAACTTAAGATCATTCATCTTTGGAAGAATTTTACGAAAAACCCTCCTGCAAAACACAATCAAGAATAGAAACTGAAAACTGTTTCCGGGTGAAAAACCCAAAAACATGAAAACACACTGGCTTGTAAAAGAAGAGAAACTAACCCTTCTTTGGATAAAGCTCTAGAGATTCTTGGTTATCTTCTTTTAAACAGATCTTCAGGTGTCTAAATCCACCATGGAGACCGAGACAAACTCAGGAAAACAATTGCTTGAATAAAGTCCAAACTAGTAATAAAGAGAGTGAAAACTTTTTTAAGGTAAAAAAAAACCCATAATGAAGGAAAACTGAAATTGGGATTCCAAGAAAACCAAGGAGAATTCATAGCTCTTCTCTGTTAAGTGTTCAAAGCCTTCCTAAAATGCCAAGAATCCTTCTCTGTATCCCTTTTTCTCTGCAAGTTTATGGGGTTTGGAGGTGAATGATCGAAAGCAAAATACAAAGAAAAAAATATACTTCTGTTCTTTTTTTTTTTTTTGGCCAAAACAAGGAAAAACAGTTGCATGAGGAAGTTTTGAAGTGAATCAGGAAACGGGATTCTGCATTTACGGAATTTAAAATTTTCGTTTATCAGAGGATAGCCGTTGGATTTTGGGAGAGGCAATCGAAGTCCGCCAGAATAGGTTACACATTAAACGCAACCGTTTTGTATCAATCATTCACCTATTATTTTTAACTTTGTTTTCATTGGCCTTTGAATGTCTACTGCAGTAGGGGATGGAAAATTAGCTTCACATGACTTGTTAACAGTTAATACTAAATGTTTGAGTTTAGTAAGATTTCTTTTCTTAAAATTAGAGTTCCTTCTTTGATTACCATGACAGCAACAAAATTCGTTCAAAAAATCGTAACAGTTTCCTCTCTGCTATCAAAATTGTTCACCACCAAGCATCTCAATCAATATTTTAGTGCTATGATAGTATTAGGTCTATTCATTTTTCTCCAAGTAATCATCTTGGATGCTCAAACACATAGCGTAAAACATAATTATCAAGGTACAAATACTCGACTGACTAATTATCAAGGAACAAAAACATATATAAATTTTCTTGCAGCCATTGATAGCATATCAATTTATCAATATCAAGTTTGTGGCAGACCATTGGTTATTGGCCTTCTCAGCCTCAACCTTCCTTAATGTTGTTGAACTCAACTTGCCTCCACCAGATTCTTCAGAAACTAGATCTACGACTTCAACCTGCAGAACATTCACAATTTTAAAGACTAATGTTTGACAAATTTTGTGAAATTCTAAAGAAAATTTCTCACCTCAACTTCAAAGTCAATATCAGAAATAGTATATTACATACAAAATCCTACCTACAGCACAGAAATCAACCAGAGAAAAACAAACCTTTAACTGTGAAAGGCATCTGTCAGCTCTTTTCCTATTAACTGATACTCCACCCGGTACTGTCTCCTTGCTGTCAAGAAACCACTCCACTAGCATTATCAAGGATTAATTTAAAGTACTTCATCTCTTGCTGTTGCACTTTTACAAATACAGCTGAATCACAGATTTAATTCATTGCCAAAAGGAGGCAAAACCAGAAATGAAAAACAAAACTGAAACTGCAAGGACCAGTGCAGCAATGGGATAAAAAGGCCGCCCAATTTTTTTGCAGTTCAAAGCACAAGAACCAAAAGCAAAGTATTCATGTGAACAAAATTACCAAACAACTCTCTTTTTCTCAGAAAATTGGCTGTTTTGTATCCTTATCTTAGATGACTAATAACACGTTAGTCAATGACAAACCTGACAACGATGGCCTCCAAATTTTCATCAATGATTGAAGGTCCATAAGGATCTGTAATTGGTTCAACTTGCACTACCAGCTTTGGCTTGATAGACTGCAGAAATATAAGCAAAATTATTATAACCCCAATACTCTTTCAATGTCTTATATTTTTTCGCATAAAAATATTCCTTTATAGTTTCATTTCATACCTTGACGTAATTCTCAACATTACGCATCCTTTCTTCAATGGGTTGTATCAATTCAGCGAACTATTAAAATAAAATAAAAAAAAAGGATTACTACAACTAATGAAAGATCTTTTCTCTTTTTCTATTTAAAGAAAGCAATCAAGGTTAGGATTCAATTATTTCATGCAATTGTAGGGATTATAGTCTAGAGTGAAAAGCCAACCAATTCATGTAAAAATTAGTAAAGTCACCTGTTTTTTGGTTAACATGGGACCATCACAAACACCCACCACGATTCGATCCCTGGCCAGCTCCACTGCTAACTATTTCCAACACAAATTTGTTTCTTTCATTCATATTCGGATGAAGAAATATAGTTAAACACAAGCAATAATAATAATAGAAAAAACAGAGATGTTGGTTTACTTTGAGGAAGAGGCGGTGGCCGTCGTGCAAGCGGTCGAAGGTGCCACCAAGAACGACGGCACCATATGAATTTGGCGGCGATAGTTTTGGATTCACCAAAGTTGATTGATCTTTTAGGTCTTCCAATATCGTCATCTATATCAGACAACAGAAACAGAGCGAACGAACTTAAAGAGAGACAACCTTTTTCTCTTCTTCTTTTTCTTAAGTTTCAGTTTGCAGGTCACGAGAAAATACATATATATTGTTGACTTGGATTAGGTACACCGAACCTGGACGACTTCAATCTTTTTCTTCGGTTTATAACTTAGAAAGGAAGGGTGTGGGTTGTTTGGTAGGACGGTTTCAGCTTTCAGGTAGCTATGTATCTACCTAATCTGGTTGTAGTAGTAGCTGTTGTTGTTGTCGTATGGTGATTCTGGATTCCCGTCATGTGATAATAATTCGTATCCAATGAAATGATTTTATTTATTTATAATACATACAATTATAAATTTTTAAAATTTAAATGATTTGATTTGATTTAAATTAAATATTATTGATTAGAGTCGGTTTATCAATTTTTAAATTTAAATTTGTTATTTTTATATATTTTTTAATATAATTTTTAATATATTTAAATAAATTTAAATATAAAATAATTATTTTTATTTTATAAAAATTTGAAATATACAAATATTAATAAAAATATATAATTTAATTCAATTTAATTTTTAACTATTTATTTTTAATCTAAATTTAATTTATATTTAATATTTAAATTTAATTTGAATTAAATAAAAAAATTAAATCAAATCAAATCATATATAAATATATATTATATTATAATATACATAATTATCAGATAATAATTATTGACGTGAACGCTTACGTGA